ACTAGCTAAAGTCATTCACCCTCCAAACCACTAAAAACGGACCGATCTGGTTATCATCCACCAAAATACCTCCCTGCGCGGCACCGACCAATCCAATTTTGGGAGAGCCGTAAACGAGACACGGAGTAAGCAAGGAAGGAATTGAACCGGCGGGGTATCATGTCGTACTGAATCGGTCGATCTGCTGCTGCGAGGAAACGACACTGGGCGGGAGCAGGCCGCGGAGGCCGAGCCGGTCCCTCTCCGTCATCGAGAACGCCGTTCCCTGCAGAAGCAGCACAACCCGCGCGCGTCAGACCACCGCCGCGAAACCCTCTGCAAACGGAACGAGGAGACGACGACGAGCGAGTAGGCGCGTACCCGGTTGAACCATGGGTCGTGGAGGATGTCGGGGCCGCGCTTGTGAAGGACGACGGGGCGGTGGCACTCAGCCGTCACGAACGCCCGCGAGCGCTGGAGGAGAAGGCGGTGGAGGGCGTCAGGGGCGAGGGATCGCCGGAGGCTACGCGAGATGGACGACGCGTTCGCCATCCCCGCCCGCGTCCCGGCTGGTCCTGCTGCTAGTGGAGGCCGCTGCAGTTGATGCTGGTTCCTTCCTACCAGTGAGAAAGGGGACGCGTAGTCGTAGCTTTTTCTGTGCGATGTGCGATCGTGTTGGAACTATTCTCCCATTTGGGCGAGACGACGTGGGGGGTCTGCCGGTCGTGGCTGCCCATTGAGAAAATTACATCTACAGTAACTGAACTTAACTCTAGGATTCACTTTGGTCACTGTATTCATGAAATCGTGAGTTACGGTCACCGGGCTTGCTGAATCGGGTCACTATACGGTAACCCATACCGTTTCGGCTCGTATCACGTGCACGTGGACAAAATTGACGGAAAAAAATAATACTTGGACTTGCCAGTTGTACAGGACACGTCGAGGGTTTCTTCTCAGCCGATTCCCCTCTCGTTCCCTTCATCCGCCTGCTAAATCCCTAGCGCAATCTCTCATCTCCTCCCTTCTCGCTCGAGTCCAACAGTTGCATCCTCTGCTCCCCTTATCTCTCATCAAATTGCAGCGACAAATTGGTTTCGGCCGCCATGTCCGGCGCGGGTAGCTCATCGGGGGCCGGTGTTGGTTGGCTCCCTTTGATCCAATGCCCTGATTGCAAGATTCGCCAGATTAGGCGGTTTGAGTCCACCACTGAAAAGCATCCTGGGTGGATCTTGTACAGGTGTATGAATCATAAGGTTAGTACAAGAACATTGACTGGATGTTGTTGTTAACTCTGCTTCCCTTTTCATTTGATTTTCAGATTGGTTCTTGATTTGATTTTGAGATATGTTCTTGATTTTGTCAAATAGGCAGGGAAGCAACCTTGCAACTTTTGGCACTGGGAAGCTAGTTATATTGATTATTTGAAGAAACATGGACATCTGAGAGGTGAATCTGTGGATAGTAAAGTAGTAGAGATGAAGAAAAAGAAGAACACGACAGAAGTAGATCCTGAAGATATGATGAAGATGTTGCTGCTGCTAAAATCACTTCCAGGAGATGTTGCAGACTTGGTTGCTGTAATGAAGATAGTAGTTGTACTGCTATTTGCAATGCTCTTTGTGTTAGTATTAGTTCTAGTTAGGATGTGAGTGTTGTCAATGTTGGCAATTGTTGCACTAAGTGAGAAGTAGACTTTGAAGGAAATATGCCCTAAAGGCAATAATAAAGTTATTATTTATTTCCTCATATCATGATAAATGTTTATTATTCATGCTATAATTGTATTAACCGGAAACATGATACATGTGTGAATACATAGACAAACTTAATGTCACTAGTATGCCTCTACTTGACTAGCTCATTAATCAAAGATGGTTATGTTTCCTAACCATAGACATGTGTTGTCATTTGATTAAATGGGATCACATCATTAGGAGAATGATGTGATTGACTTGACCCATTCCTTTAGCTTAGCACTTGATCGTTTAGTATGTTGCTATTGCTTTATTCATGACTTATACAAAGTTCCTATAACTATGAGATTATGCAACTCCCGTTTACCAGAGGAACACTTTGTGTGCTACCAAACGTCACAATGTAACTGGGTGATTATAAAGGAGCTCTACAGGTGTCTCCAAAGGTTCATGTTGAGTTGGCGTATTTCGAGATTAGGTTCTGTCACTCCAATTGTCGGAGAGGTATCTCTGGGCCCTCTCTGTAATGCACATCACTATAAGCCTTGCAAGCAATGTAGCTAATGAGTTAGTTACGGAATGATGCATTACGTAACGAGTAAAGAGACTTGCCGGTAACGAGATTGAACTAGGTATTGGATACCGACGATCGAATCTCGGGCAAGTAACATACCGATGACAAAGGGAACACCGTATGTTGTTATGCGGTTTGACCGATAAAGATCTTCGTAGAATATGTAGGAGCCAATATGAGCATCCAGGTTCCGCTATTGGTTATTGACCGAAAACTGTTCTAGGTCATGTCTACATAGTTCTCGAACCCGTAGGGTCCGCACGCTTAACGTTACGATGGCAGTATATTATGAGTTTATAGTTTTTGATGTACCAAAGGTTGTTCGGAGTCCCGGATGTGATCATGGACATGACGAGGAGTCCTGAAATGGTCGAGACATAAAGATTGATATATTTGAAGCCTATATTTGGATATC